GTCTGATCTTCTTGAGGCTGCAGAAGTTCAAGGACCCAGCCTGGGCAACATGGTGAGGGCCTGTCTCTAAAAAAAAAAGAAAAAAAAAAGCCAGGAATCAGTGGCTGTGTGCCTGTGGTCCCAGCTACTGAAGAGGCTGAGGTGGGAGGCTCTCTTCCTTTTTTTTTTTTTTTTTTGAAGATGGAGTGCTTGCTTCTGTTGCCCCAGGGCTGAGTGGGCCAGTGGCATGATCTCGGCTCAACTGCAAAGGCCCGCGCCTCCCAGGTCACGACCCATTCTCCTGCGTCAGCCTCAACCAAGTGCCTGAGACTACAGGTGCCCACCACCATGCCAGCTATTTTTTGTACTTTTAGTAAGAGATCTAGTTTCACCTTTTTTTATTTTTTTTTGGTTGCCCAGGATGGTCTTGATCTCCTCCCTGACGTCCCCGTGATGGTGGGAGAGGATGCTCTGAGAGCCGGAGGAGGTCAGTCTGTAGTTAAAGATACAATCACACCTCCACTTCACTCCAGCCTGGTAAGCATGTGAAAGGCGCAATCTTGGCTCACCATAACCTCCACCTCCCAGGTTCAAGCAATTCTCCTACCTCAGCTTCCCAAGTAGCTGGAATTACAGGGGCGCGCGCCACCATACCTGGCTAAATTTTTGTATTTTTAGTAGACACAGCATTTCACCATCTTAGCCACATTTGTCTTGAACTCCTGACCTCATGATCCGTCTGCTTCAGCCTCCCAAAGTCCTGGGATTACAGGCGTGAGCCACCGCGCCCGGCCAAGATTCTTAAATGTAACATGTTCCAGAAGATTGGAAACAACTGAGATACCCAGAAGTAGGGGACCAGTTAAATCAGTCATGATGTAATTCCATACAGTGAAATAGTGTGCAGCCACAAGAGGCTGTTTGGCTCTTGTTTAGAATCATCTTTTTTTTTAAACATACAAGGTCTCCAAGGTCTCACTACTTTGCCCAAGCTGGTCTCAAATTCCTGGACTCAAGCAATCCTCCCGCCTCGGCCTCCCAAAGTCCTGGGATTACAGGCGTGAGCCTCTGTGCCTGGCCCTAGAATCATTTCACAGTTTCATTTTAACTTAGAAAAGCAAAGTGCAGGCTGGGCGTGGTGGCTCACACCTGTAATCCCAGCACTTTGGGAGGCCGAAGCTGGTGGATCACGAGGTCAGGAGATCAAGACCATCCTGGTTAACACGGTGAAACCCCATCTCTACTAAAAATACAAAAAATTAGCTGGGCATGGCAGCAGGCACCTGTAGTCCCAGCTACTCGGGAGGCTGAGGCAGGAGAATGGCGTGAACCCGGGAGGCGGAGCTTGCAGTAGCCGAGATCATGCCACGGCACTCCGCCTGGGCGACAGAGAGCTCCATCTCGAAGAAAAAGAAAAAAGAAATCAAAAAAAGAAAAGCAGTGCAGAGAAGCATGGTTGGAATACTGCCGTTTGAGAGGGAAATGAGTTTTGAGCCGTATTTGCCTTAGTTGTTCATATATTGTTCCTGGGAGGCCTGCACAAGAAAATGGTAACTGTGTCACTTGACCAACTGAGAGGTGAAATAATAAAAATACACAAAAGAAAACTCAACACTATGGTGGACCCCTGGGGAGACAGGGCCAGGAACGAGGAAGACTTTTCAACGTACATCCTTTTTTCCGTCTTCTGCGGAATTTTGTCGCACATGCCATAGGCTTACGCCTGTCTCAAAGAATACATTAAAATAATAAATTTTAGTCTTTTTTTATTTGTTTGTTTTGTTTCTGTTTGTTTTGAAACAGAATTCGCTCTTGTCGCCCAGGCTGGAGTGTAATTGCTAAGATTAAGTACCACCGCAACCTCTACCCCTCCCGGTTCAAGTGATTCCTCCCGCGTCAGCTCCTAGAGTGCTGGATTACAGGCACCCACCA